TTGTACGAGCCCCAATAAAATGATTAAGAGATTAATTAATTTTTTAAAAAGTATCCAATGAAGTAATCTTCAAAATAAACAAGCTACCTAAATTAATAAAAAATCTTTGTCTTGAGCATTACATTATTTTAAAGAATTATATGTATGAGATCAAATTAACAACAATAACTTTAAAATACAGATGAGACATTTAAGCCAATGGTGGTAAAGCAATATGGGAAGAGATAATAAAAATGGTGGTACAACAGGAAGAATATACCCAGTATCACAGAATTATCTATGTAGACATTGTTGAATAGCATGTGTTCTGCTGTGCATATTTCTACAGAAAAGCAAATAAATATTACTTTTTAAAATGACTGATTCTTGTCTTATATTCCTGCCCTGACTACTTTTTACATGCTTACTGGGTTCTAGTAGGAAATGTATTTCAGTAATTCGGTTCACACTTTAAAATATCTGAAATCAAGATACAATTGATGGCATGCTGCAACTTTAACCAGCAGCCTTTTCTTTTATAGTAATATACATCCAGGTGGCTTCCAAATGAAGGTATTTCAAATTTATTGAAATACAAATAAAGTTTTCTAATCATTATATTGTGTGTGTGACATGAATCCTTATAAATCTTCTATAATATGCTGGACATGGTGAAGAATAATATGTAATGTATCAACATATATTTTTCTGGTAACAGACACAAGATAGAAAGTGTAATAATAAAGAAAAATTGAGTTTTGAATCAATTGAAATAACGGAATTTGAGTACTGAAATAAAAAATGTTTACAAATTGTAAAGTTCTACAGAAAATGAAATGACACATCACTTAGTTCTCACACATAAAAATACAAAATATCCAAAACCACAGCTCCAGATGGTTTATAACAATAAACTTTCCAAACTTCTAAATATACTGAGGAAACCATGTTACTCACAAAGCTTATCACTTTACATTTTAAGTCTGTAAAACATTTGCTTAAAGTAAAATGACATCTTTGAATAAAATCTCGAAAGAAAAAGCAAACTCGCTATCATCGAGTAGATTTTGTCCCTCAGTGAACTGATAGGAACGCATAGTGTCCTTGTAGCAGTGCATAGAACTGCCCCCATAGTGTTCCAACACTGTATATGTATGCAGGCGCTGAAGCCTCATCTTTCTCTGAAGGATCAGCCAGTGGTTCACAACAGCTGACCCTACAGTTAACATCCCAACAAATACAAACTAGTGCATCCCACATAAGTAAATGTATCCATCAAAGTCACTTACCGGCATGCGTTCTGTCATACCACCAATCTTAAAATTCATTGTAGATCTCACTGTCTGGGCACCATAGTACTTATCATTTGGAACCTTGAGTTCACCGAAGGTGTCATATTCTATCCGAAAGGAATTTTGGCTAGCCTAAGGACAAAGATAAGGCTCTGTTAGAACTTGAAAAGAAACCAAGCACCCAAATCAGCTTTATGGAGAAAGAAGTCTCAACGGGTCCCCAAAGAAAAGAGGCCAAAATCCCATTTGGATTCTTATTCTATTCCTTCTTCCTCTACCTCTTTTCTTGGACATTTTTTCTCACAGACTTTTTAAATATAGATGTTAAAGAGGTTTACTGTAGAATTCAGACGAAACAAACGATCTTTTCTAATACATGTGCTTATTAATTGAACTTGACCAATTCAATGTAATTTCATTAATGTTTATTTTACCGAGGACTTTAAAAAATCACCTAGAAATGATACTTTTAATATATAAAAATTAAATATTTAAAGAAAGCTTAATTATGATCTATAAATATTATGCATGAGTGACACCGTAGTACCATATAAATAATGAGAAAGCTCACCACTTAGTAACTGCATGACCTTCAAACAGTCGTTTTTCTCATGTGAAAACTAAAGTAAAAGGACAGAAGAGGGGAGTGAGACTAGATGAGTCCTTAACCTTTAAAGAATGATATGACCAATTGATTACAGGGATCTACACAGACCCTCCTCCCTGGGGGATGGACAACAGCAAAGTGGGTGAAGGGAGACCTCGGACAGTGTAAGACATGACAAAATAATAATTTATAAATTATCAAGGGTTCATGAGGGAAAGGAGTTGGGGAGGGAGGGGAAAACATGAGGAGCTGATGTGAGGGGTTTAGGTGGAGAGCAAATGTTTTGAGAATGATGAGGGCAATGAATGTACAATGTGCTTGACACAATTGATTGTATGGGTTGTGATAAGAGTTGTATGAGCCCCCAATAAAATGATTTTTAAAAAAGAATGATATGACCATTTAAGAATCCGAGGAAAGCTCTAGACCCTTTCTTAAAAAAATCCACATAATTACATCTACAGAAAATTTTACATATAATTTTCAGTGGCTTCCTAACATCTTGAAGCCAGAATAGGAACTCACAGGCCCAAAGTCCCTTTAAGAGCTAACTTAGGATTCTAGGAAGTAAGGTAACTTACACTCCTAAAAAGTTTAATAATTGCCTAACAAACATTTTATAACACTGTAAAAAATAATAGGAAACACTAGACATTATAACTAAGGAGACTTCAGGAAGGTATACTTAAATCTAAACATATGCCGAGGACTGACCTAGGCCATAAAGGAAAAGAAGTTAAAGTATATATTCACGTATAAGCTGACCAAATATCAGTTGAGTCGCATAATTTTACCACAAAAACTGCATTTAAAATGTGCTGAAAAACTCAGCTTATCCTTGAGTATATATGGTAATTATAAAAGTACTCCTATCCTGACATTTACATTGCTATATAATATATTCCTCTATTTAACTTTCAAAGCCATTGTAGAGGAATTCGCTAATAGCTGATCTGATCAAAATCAGACCTATTCAAAGTCAGTTGCAAACGTTGAGATGAAAAGAGTGGTGTACTACTCCTTACCTAAGCCTTAAAAAATTTTTAGTCCAAATCAAGAAATAAAATAACAGTCTTCCCCAAACCCTAGGCTTTTCATACTAACTAGGAAAATAATGTAGGAATCAACTGTATGAAAATGAAATTCTCTGCAAACCCTTCAAAAGTCCACTTCCTGCCTTCATGATTCGTGATCCAGGGTCACCAAGGTGGTTGGCTCATAGCAACCCTGCACACAGCAGAATGAAGCTACCCGGTCCTCAAGATCATATTTAGGTCTGAGTCGAGTGCTGCAGCCATGGTGTCAATCCATTTAAGGGACTGTCTTGACAACCGAACCTCTACTTCACCAAATGCAGACCTCCAGGGAAGGATCTCTCCTGACAGTGGCCACTGTATGTGAGATCAAAGTCCCTCTATCCTGGCCTCTCAAGAACACTCTGGCTGTACTTCCCAAGAAAGAGCTGTTCATTCTTCTGGCATCCCATGGCATTTTCAATACCCTTTGTGTAGTTTTCAATTTGTTGTGTAGTTTCCACAAGCATATTAGACAATCAATGAGACTCTGGCTTCGGCAAACTTTAGTCCTCAATTAGGCACCTGTCTTGTTTTTGTTTTTTTAGCTTTTAAAAATATAATTCAAAATGATTTTGTTCTAGTACAGTGTATTCATTTTACAAATGTAAAACTTTACCAACTATTAAGGCATCATTGCCTTTTAACACCTTAAAGATGTTTTCTGCAGCAGATTCACCCAATGTAATTTGTCATTTGTGATTTCTTGACTGCTTCCCTGCTTGTTGATTCTGGATCCAGGTAAAAAGAAATCCTTGACAATTTGAATATTTCACCATTCCTTGTGATGTTGCTTACTGATACCGTTGTGAGAGTTTCAGCTTTATGTTGCAGAGTAAGGAGCCCAGATGGTGGTGTCAGGTAAGTGTTGAACTGCTAGGCGTTAAGATCTGCAGTTCATACTATAAGGCTGTTGAATCCTGTAAAGACTAAAAGCCTGGAAACCCTATAAAGTCGCTACAGTGCTCAATGGCAAAGAGTTTTGCTTGGGAGAGTAGGAATCAGCTTGATGGCAGTGGGTTTAGTAGAAACCTTGGATCTTCCATTGAGTGCTTTATATCTTTTTTACTTTCAGCAAGCAAGATGGTGCCATCTGCCTATCATAGGCTGTTAACAAGTCTTCCTCCAATCCTGATGCTACATGATTCTTCATATAATCCAGTTTCTCAGATTATCTGCTCAGCATACATTAAATAAAATATAACCTTGATGCTCACCTCTCCTGATTTCAAACAATGCAGTGTTGCCATGTTCTATTTGAACAACTGCCTCTTGGTCTATGTACAGTTTCTGAACAAGCACAGTTAAGTGTTCTGGAATTTTCATTCTTTGCAATGCTATTCAAAATTTGTTATGAATTACACAGTAAAATGCCTTTGCATATTCTATGCTTTCAGCCAAGATCCATCCTACATCAACAATCACATCCCTCTTTCCACATCCCCAATGTAACTAAAACAGCATCGCTTACATAAGTTTAGCTTGCTTGTAATAAACTGTCCCAACAGTGCAAGAAACAACCAAGCAAACATTTTTCTACCATAGGTTACAAGTGGAACAGAAGCGTCATGCAGTTTACAGGGTCTCTAATGTTCAAAAATATCTGCACTTTTGGACTGAGCAGTGCTCCACCTGTTGTTCATCGGGTAACTTTGAGTTGGAACTGACTTGGCGGCACCTAATAGCAACTCCTACTGCCCAGAAGGCCTCCTAGAACACTGCATCCATTGAACTCACCCGACCACCCCCAACTCCCGAGTAATCATCTAAGGTTTGTCACATGGAAATCTTGTATAGGGAACCAACTCAGTCTGGATGCTTTGGTGATCTGTAGACAATACTTTCTTTACTCCACAGAATGAAGGAGTGCAAGTCCTTAGCCCTGGTGCAGACCCTTTCCTGCCCTGTGGGTGCCAATGTTTTCCAGGACTGGTTTCCGGTTTATAAGCCTCCAGACACAAATAAAATAATGTCTCTTGGATTGACTCCAGGTCAGTTTTTGGTCTCATGGAAACTACCATTCCAAGGGATTTTCCTCTGAGTTTGAACCCAAACACAGCTACACTCTGTAAAACTAGTTTTTGTGATGTACAGCCTTCTGAAGGTTGAACACAGAATACCAGAAGGGTAGTATACGCTCCACTTAGATTACTTCAATGTAGCATAATCAAAAGCTATTTTAAAAGACAGAAGGGACAACAAGAAGTGATATTTCACCAAAGAAAGCATTTAGTTCAGACTAAATAAATAAATAGGTGGGGTGATTTGTATTATCTGATAATATATAATCACTGGGAATAAGCAAAAAAGGATCCATCATAGAAGCAAGGCTACCATCTACTGGATAAGCATGCATAGATACAGAGAGGAAAGCGAAATCAGGTGACTTTGTAAGTCTCTTCAAAGATTTTTTTACATTGACCTACAGAAGAAGAAAAAACATCATTATTCACTGCATACATAAATACAGGTGCATACATAAGCCTAAAGAAAAAAAATTTCATTAATATCATGCATCTGTATTTTCTATTCAATACTATTTCATTATTAACAAGTGGTTTAACACCCACTAATGTGTTTCCATGGGGATCCTTGGTGGCTTAGCAGAGGATGTGATCCAAGTAATAATCTCCCTTTACTTACTTGGGAGGTTTGGTACAAAAACCACACTTCCATTCATTTCTGTGTATAAAAGGCGATCCACTAATGTGTTTCCATGGGGATCCTTGGTGGCTTAGCAGAGGATGTGATCCAAGTAATAATCTCCCTTTACTTACTTGGGAGGTTTGGTACAAAAACCACACTTCCATTCATTTCTGTGTATAAAAGGCGATCTCAAAAGCAGGAACACTGAAAGACACCCCAGGACCATGGGAAGAACTGCCACCAGGGAAGCATGTTTGAAATCTGTCTGAAATGGTGGCGAATGGGACCAGAAGCGCCAGTGGGAGCTGCATAGGGTCTAAGCTATAGAGCAAAGGAGCCAGGCTGAGGCAAATAGATCATGAGTCAGAACAGAGGAACATAGCCAAGACTATGAGACTGTGAGGCAAAGTGACAGGCAGGCTTCCTGGCCCACGTGGCTGGGGACCAGGGAGAAAGACTTGACTGCTGGCTAAGAAAAGACACTGATGTGGATAGACCAATGCCAGGATCCTTACTTTACACTGATTCTGACTGATTAACTTCCCTAATAAACTCCCACGATTATGCATTTTGTCTGAGTTCTGTGTGTTCATTGCAACAGATTATCTCACTCAACATGGAAGTAGAATGTTGTAGGAGGAACAGCTGGTGTTAGAGCAGGTACAGATGGATGGAGCATGGAGACCATGTCTGACCCCTGCCTGCCTCTTAGCAAGAAGGAAGCCAGAGGTCAGATATGGCCTCTTGGGAGCCTTTTATAACCTTGAGGACTCATGCTGCCTTCCCTGGTTATGGGGGTGGGGAGGATTGTGTCCACTGTTCCCTCCAATGTGAATGGAATCAAGCCCTAGAAATGCCAAATACGGTTATCAGCTATTATTCCCAGGGACCTCAGGAGCTGAGGTGGTCTCCAAATTTATATGGCAGTGTAAATCTGAAAAGTCAGCCAACATGTAAGATATCTTGCAAATGCAAGATAACCTTGAACTATTATACCATTTCCTGAAGAAAAAGTAAAGTGACTTTCACATTCTGTGTATGTTGGGTTAAAAGAATATTTCATTGTTCAAGGAAATCCAAATATTTTTTAATAAAAAGATACTATCTCAAGAGAAAAAAATTCAAAACTTGACTTGGAGTTCCAGTCTCTCTCTGAAAACATCTATGTGGACCAAAACTGTAAGGTGACCACCAAGTCTGGAAACAGGCAAATACATAATAAATTACTTGTTAATATTAACGTATAATAGAAATCAAAGCATTGTATATTTATACCTATCTTGAAGGCCACTAAGGAAAGAAAGAAGTGGCTTTTTAAAATGTGGGCTCCCCTTTCAACAATACTATGAAGACAGTTTCATGGCAGCATCTTTTTTCTTCTTAATAGCATTTTGTATTTATTGTGTGTGATTTCTTTGCTTATGTAATGATCACTTCACTATTCATTCTCTAAGCTCTATGCATATAAAAATTGTCTTATTCATATACCAGATAAATAGATTTCCTGACAGTAGGTTGGGATCAATGGAAACCATTAAATAAAATTACAGTTTTAAGGTAAATCTAGGTTTATGTGAATTTCTCAACACTAGCAACAGCCAGAACTTTTAACAAAATCAGTAGAATTTGGACATGCTAAACACTATCATGTACGAATATAATCTTGTCGAGTCGTGGTTACTTCAATTTTACATGAGCAAACAGGTTCATAGAAAATTTACTCAAAATTGTACCTTTGAGCAGTAGAGTGCTATTTGCAATGAAATCTCTTGTTGAAAAGCTCATATTACACCATAGTGAACTGGGGGGAGCTGTACTCTTCCCATAAAATTTTTAAACTTTTACGAACAATATGTAGATAACAATAAACAATGCTTTTTAAAACACCAGTTACTGAAGGGATCAATATCAAGGGCAAAACCAAAACCAAATTCACTACCATCAAGTTGGTGTGGGTTCAAAATAATCCTATATCCGGTTCCCATGGCAGGAAATCTTTAGTGGAGCAGATATTTTCCCTACTGCAAAGCAACTGGTGGGTTGGACGCTAATCGGACAGTGTCAGTCACCAGGGCTCCTTCAGGAGGAAAAGGATTTACCTAATTCTCACTCATTGTTATCAAGTCGATTCCAACCCAGGTTGACCCTATAGAGCAGAGTAGAAAGCCTATCTTCCTCCCGCGGGGAGGCTGGTGGTTGCGAACTGCTGGGTTAGCAGCCCAGCACGATGAATGTGCATTTTTAAATTTCTTAAGCTTCTCTGAATGAGAACTTCTCAATCAACAATAGGTAGCATGAAATTTCTTCGAACACACTTCAAAACACTAGGCCCAAGTTTACGAGCTTCAGTTTTATAAAAGTGAGAAAAATAAATTGAAGGGGTGCTCTTGTTAGGTAGCTTAGCCTAGGGGCTGGGGCGTCCATTGCTCATGGTCAGTGGTTCAAGCTTCAGACAGGAAGGGGGAGCACACCTAGGTGGGCGTTACACCTGGACCGGCCCATCTGGGCCGGGTGAATTCAATTGAGCCCACGGGGTCGACCAGGATCTTCAATCTTGCCTCCCAGCGGAAGGCTTGAAAAGGCAGGATCCTGGAGCCCACCCCGTGGCTTTCCCAAGCAGCACCTAGGCAGGCTGTAGGGGTGGTGTAGGGGGAGGGGGATCTGAGGGTGCCTGTGTAAACCTGAAACTTAGAACTTTCATAAAACTCACTTGGATCACAAGGCAAGCTTCGCAGTGAATTCTTTCTAGCGGGAAGCCAAGGACCAAGATATATCTTTCCCATGAGATCTAACCTATCACAGTAAGTAAAAACTTAAGAACGCCTAACACCTTAGGTCAATTCCACCTGCGAGGCTGCTCCACAGTGGTGTCCAGTTAGACTGGAATTCGGGGGGCTCGTGGCCAGCCGGCAAGGACGAGCGGAGCGGGCGCTGGCGCGGGAAGGCTGAATCCCATACCGTAAAGCGCAGCAAGAACAAGACCCATCATCCCCATCACCTGGCTCGGTCAAGGCCGGTCTTCCGGCCTCCAGGGCCGGCGAAGGGGCGGGTCTCGCGGGACCCTCGCCGGCCGAGGCCTCCGCACCCCGAGCTCCGCCTGCGCTCCCGGCCCATGTTGGCAGCGAGGAGCCCCACGGCCAAGTTCTGAGTGAGTAATGCACGCGGTGGCCCTCCCGCCAGCCTGCGAAGCAGGCCGAAGGTCACCGCGGCGTGCACGGGTACGAGCGGCCTACACGTCCCATTGGAGCCGAGTTCAGTGGCCGGAAAGGAAAGGCGGTCAAGGTCACCGCGGAGTGGGCAGTACGCGCGGCCGACACTTACCATTCGAGCCGAGCTCAGTGGCCGGAAAGGAAAGGCGGTCGGGCCGGAGGGTGAGGCTGGAGGCCGCAGGAGGTGGCCGAGGCGCTCGACGAAACGCGGTACCCCGTGCATGGTTCTGCGCAAGGCTCCGGAGGATTTTAGAGCAGTTGTGGCCACGCCTCCGCCAAGGTTGTCCAGCCCACCAGGCCTCCGCTCTGATCCAATCAGCAGCTTCCAACTGGGCGGGGCCACTCGTGAGTAGCTAGTTCAGTGTAAGGGGCGGGCTTAACCTGTCTAGGCTTGTAATGCGGCCATTTGAACCTTGGCATTCACGGGAAAATCAGGAAGCAAGGGATGATGGGAAAGGTGGTTCAAGTGATCGTTGAGCTGAATTGTCAAACGTGTTTGATCGTGGGTGAGAGTAGTAATTGTTCATGTTTGGCTGGTGAAATTTCCTATAAGGAAATGTTCGTTTATTTGTCATGTGGTCAATTATGTATAGGTACTGTGTTTGAGGATCTTAACATTTTCCAGATTTTGTCTTCCAATGGGACATTTTGGAGAGCGCAGCAAAATACAGAGAATTAAATAATAGTAACATTCATAATAATACTCATAATCCCACCACTGAAGGATAAAATAAACACTTATTTCTCGTGTCATTTTGAGGTCTCCGTGATTTCATATAGCTTCTCAATGATAAATGAAATAAATGATAACTGATAAGTGATAAATAAGACTTAGAAATCATACTGAAAGTATGTAGTGTGGTAGATATCCACGATTCCAAGTGATTAAGGT